GCCCCCCTCACTGGCAACCCTCAGCCTCCACCGGCCCCTGGGGGGCTCCACTTCTGCTCTCGGATGAACTTCACTGTATTTATCAACTCCATTCTCACACAGGAGAGAAAAAGGAAGATGCCCAACATAAACCAGCAAAGAGAAACATGGCCTGGTGTGCTTCTGGCTGGGCCATCCATCGCCCAGACTCGGGCTGGGAATGTTCTGGGGCTGGCCAGCCTCTCCCTGCACCTCCAACCCCCTGAACTCACCACACAGCCCTGCAGCATGACTCTGCAGGACACCCTGTGTGCAGGGCTGAGATGCTACCTGTGGGACCTGAGTCCATCCTGGCGGCCAGCAGTGAGGGCTCAGGACAGGCCTAGCACTGGGGGCTGGCATGCTATCATCAGGGAGGGTCCGGCCACTGTCGTGGGAAGGGGGAGGTCACTCATGGGAGAGAGGTGGTGACTGCCATGGGGGAGGGGTGGTCATTGTGGGGGAGGGGGTGGTGACTGTCATGGGGCGGGAGGTGAGTCATGGGGGAGGGGGATGGTCATTGTGGGGGACGAGGTGGTGACTCTCATGGGAGAAGGGGGCGGTCATCGGGGAGGGGGTGGTCACTGTCATAGGGGAGGAGTGGTGACGCATGGAGGAGGGGTGGTGACTGTCGTGGGGGAGGGGTGGTGACTGTCGTGGGGGAGGGGTGGTCACTGTCATGGGGGAGGGATGTGGTCACTGTCGTGGGGGAGGGGGTGGTCACTGTCGTGGGGGGGGTGGTGACTCATGGGGGAGGGATGGTCACTGTCACGGGGGAGGGATGTGGTCACTGTCATAGGGGAGGGAGGTGGTCACTGTCATAGGGGAGGGAGGTGGTCACTGTCACAGGGGAGGGACGTGGTCACTGTCATGGAGGAGGGAGATGGTCATTATGGGGGAAGGGCAGTCACTGTCGTTGCAGGCACTGACCAGTTTGACACATTGGTTCCACAAGTACCGGCAAGTTGCTGTGGAGCCCACTACTCCAGGCTCTGGGTACGGGGCTGACCCCAGGCAGGCAAGGGCCGCTCACCGTCTGTCGGGGCAGAGACCAGCCAGAGACTCCCCGTGGGAGGCGGACAGGGAGCTAGGGCAGTCGAGGGCAGTGCGGAGGGTCTCCCTGAGGAGGGCACACCATGGAAGCGGCAATGCTCAGATCGGGGCAGGGTGCTCAGGGGCACATGGAAGCCAGCAGGGGTCCTCAGGGTGGGTCCCGGCGGTCCCAACAGGCTCCCCAGGACGGGGCAGGACACCCTAACTCAGAATCCGATGGCACCAGGCCTGGGGGGGCCACAGTGCCAAGGTCTCTGCCCAGTCACTGTTGGGCCTCTCAAGCCAGCCACACAGCACCCCGTGGGTCCTCTGACGGGCTGTCACCTCCACAGGGCCCGCAGATGCCCCACAGGGCCTGCTACACTCTGCCTACGCCATCCCAGCTGGCTACACTCTGCCTACGGCCACACGGGCTGTCCCAGCTGGCAAGTCCCTGAGGACAGAGAGCGTCCTTCCACCTGTCCACTTCACAGACGAAATGACCAAGGCCAATAGGAGTTCAAGGTCACCCAGCCAGTGAGTGGACACGGGCCTAAAGCCCGGACAGCATATCCCCAGCCTGGCCCTTTGCTTTGTCCCAAGGACGATGCTGGGAGGAGGACAAAGGAAACGGATGCTGGGCGGGGCCATCTGTCCCAGTGGACAGGAGCCCCCAACACGACCCCAATCCGCACCCTGCCTGACAGGAGCCGCGGACACTCATGGAAACCAGGAGCCAGGCGGAGGGTGGGCACCAGGAATGGCGCAACACTGGCCCACCGCTGTGACACTGCTTCCCCTCCCTGGGCCTCAGCTGCCCCACATGTTCACAACCCCACTAGCCACCTAGTCATTGAGGGCTGGCCGCGAAGGGGGCTCTCTCTCAGACCCCAAGTCTGCCCTAGGGGACTTCTGAACCTATAATATCTTGCAAATCCCAAAGCCCCCAGTGAATGTGGCAGGGGAGTTGAGGGGACGAGGGTGCCAGCTTCCGCAGGAAAGGGCTGCAGCCAGCCGAGGTGCGTAACACGGTTCCACAAAACGCTGCCGCCCACCCCCCGAGCCCTGTGCAGGCTGCAAAGATGGCCCCAAAGCAATCGGGCCTGCAGGGCCTGGCATGTGGGACCTCCGCTGCGTCACAGCCTCTCACGCATCACGCTGGAGCTCCTGTCACCGGGACCTGCTGCAGACCCGGGGGAGGGCTTCCTAAAGGCTAATGACAATTTGCGTTTTGTTTTTCCCGTTTTCAGAGACCAAAGGGGGGGGAGTGATGCAGGGAGATGTGCGGATCCTTCCGAGAACGACTCCCACCCCGTCACCCTCTGTCCTGCGCCTGCGGTTTGCTGGCACAAGGATCCACATCCGCTGTGTCACCCCCATGCTGCAGACAAAAAAACTGAGGCTGGGAGGGCCAGGCTGGCCATGGGGCCTTCCCACTCCGCACCACTCCTAGTCCCCCCTGCTACCCGCCCTCCACACAGTGCTGAGCTGTGCGGGGCCCCGAGGGCCACAGGCAAAGCCCGGGCCACCTGGGTCCTCTGGTCTAGACACAAGCCCAGGCTCTTGAGTGAATTCAGTTCAGCCCAGAGCACCAGCTTTTCTCCCGCCCTGACCCAGGCCTCTCCATCTCTGAGCTGGACGACTGCAGTGGCCTCCACGTGGGGCGCCCTTGCCCCAGGAAAGGCCGCTGCTCGGCCCACACTCACCACACAGAGCGCCAGAGGGAACCTGGGGCCAGGACTGCTGGATGGACAGGCCCTCACACAGAGGATCGCAGGAGGGGCAGCCAGCCCCAGCCTCCACTCCCCTGAACCCCATCCTGGGGTGGCTGCACCGGCACGAGCCCTCACCAGGCCCTGGGAGCAGGACTCCCAGGCCAGGACAGGGAGAAGCCAGCCCCTTGGGTAAAGGCGCCACACGGGAACCCCGAGACCCGTTCCATAGATGCTGTGGAGCGAGCGCCAGGAGGCTGGAGGTGGGCCAGTTCCACTGTGCAGGAGCCACGCCTCTCTCGGGATGCTGCCCTCTAATGGCCTCCTCACGCCCGCAGCCCTGTGTGGGGGTTTGGGCTCTGGCAGAATGAGCTTCTGTGAACGGCCTCCACTCCTTGGACTTAATCAACAAGCAGCGCCTCCTCTCTCCTCACGCCACTCTATGCCCCACAGGGAGGGCTGAGACTGGACCTTCCCAGGAGGATCTGATTCCAGTGCAAAGGGGAAGCAGGTCCATCTGCCTCTCTGGATGTGAAGCCTTCGGGGTAGCGCTTCTGGAAGAGCTCCTGGGCGCCCGTTTCTCCGCTTCTCTGGGAGCAGTGGGCTTCGCTGCACCCGCAGAGAGGGATGGAAACCATCTCTGTGCTTCAGGTGGTTCTCTGGAGCATCTCAGCAGCAGCAAAGGGCTCGTTCAGCCCCAGAGAGAAGCCCCCAAAGCAGCCACAGGCCCAGAGCTGGCGCCTTCCTCTCTGGGGAGCCCGAGGACAGGAAAGGGTGAAGGGGGGACACTCACAGAGGTGGCGGGGGCCCCGAACACAGGTCTTGAGAAATGGGCGCTCCTCCATCAGGCCAAAGTAGGGGGTTGCCACAGCAGAGGCAGGGAGGTGGGGGGGCCACAGAAGGGGCAAAGGGAGAAGGGGACTGAGCCCCAGCACTGTGGGGTATTCCCTTCCCTTGAGAGTGGATGGCCTACTTCCTGGGAGAGCAGAACTAGCCACAGGCCCTAACCCAGTGACTTAGCTGACTTACTGCCAGGCCTCCGCTCTTCTAGAAGAGTCAGCTCTTAGGCAGACATTTGCTCCAGAAACCCAGCCCCTGGGAGCTTCAGAGTGGGCAGGCCCTAGCACCTTCTGCAGATGAGGAGGCCAGAAGAAGGGAAGGATGTTCAAGGTCACACACAGAGGCTCGGATCCCAACAGAGCGTGTCCCCACCAAGCTGCCTGACTGATGTGTTCTATGTACACTCAGGCATCAAGGGAGAAGAGGCTCACTCACACATGCACGCACACACACACACACACGCATGCACGCACATGCATGCACAATACATGCATGCACACATGCATTCACACATGCATGCACTCATACATACATGCACTCATACGTGCATGCATTCACACACATGTACACACGCATGCATACATGCATGCACACATGCACTCACACATGCATGTACTCATACATGCACGCACACATATTCACACATGCATGCACACATACATGCATGCACACACACATGCACTCACGTGCATCACACACACTCACACATGCATGCACTCACGCACACACTCACATGCATGAACACACGTGCACACACACACATGCACACATGCAGACCCAGACTCAGGTGCCTCTTGGGATACTCTGTTTTAGCAACTGTCTCAAGGAGATTAACCATGGGCTAGAGATACATTTGGCAGCAGGTATTATACATGTGTAAACTTTAAAGAAATGAAGAATAAGCAGCATCCAATGTCCACACCCTACAGTTGCACCCCGACAGCACACCCCACCACCTGCTGGTAGTACCACCAAATTGCAGGTTCAGTTCTGAGCAATCTATTCAACCTTTCAAAAGTTACTGGGAACTGCATTAAGCACCAAATCATTTTCATTAGAGCTAAACAGTCTCCTGGAAGTCTAACCACACAGCAAAGGAAATGACCATGGTGATTGAGAGCCATATACCCCGGCTCCTGGACAGAGGGCTGTGCCCTATTAGAGAAACCCAGGAAGGAGGGAATGGGGATGGGGTTCCCAGACTCCCATCTCTCCCTTATTGGACCAGATGGCCAGAGAGAGGTGGTTAGAATGGGCAAGGCCATGGAGGCCTAGTTCCAGGGCCACCAGGCCGAGGGTAAGCAATGGTGCAGCAGGGCTGGCACCTGGGCTCCCCTGGTCCCTGGCCTCCACATGTGGAGCGTGGAGAGTGAGCACGCTTGCCCAAGCCAGCCTCACCTCCATCTGCAGGATGGCCTCCTCTCGCAGTCGGATGGCCTCCAGGTCCTCCTCAGTGATGTCCGGGAGCAGCGCTTGCTCCTGGCCCTGCCACATGTTGTCACTCCCATTAAAGATCTTCTCATCATCAGCCAGCTCAGCAAACGGGGCCTGGGGACTCTGCTGATGACAGACAGACCTTGTTAGCACTGACCCCTCCCATTACTACCACACCCCAGGCCCAGATCTTGTCAGTACTGACCTCCCCATCCCATTACCAGCACGCCCCAGGCCCAGACCTTGTTAGCACTGACACCCCCCATTATCACCACGCCCCAAGGCCAAGTCTCCCCATGGCTCCGAGCAGGCCACTCAGCTCTGCCTCAAGAGGAGATGAATCACAGATGCTAGGCCCTGGCCTCCCACGCCTCTGGGAGTTGCGGGCCCCCAGAGCTCTAGACAGCACCGTGCACACTGTGGGGGCAGGAGAAGAGCTGGGGCTACTATGAGCAGTGGGCCAGGGTCACAGGCGAGTGGACACTGGTTCCCACCTTTTGGCACATGCCCCCCACTCTAATCATCCCAGGCCTGTCTGCAAGGAGAGCTCGTGAGTCCTATGACCCCCATGCCAAGCCAGGGCTACCCTGTCCTTGGCCACATAGAGGACACGAGAGCAAAACGTGGCCCTGACCCCAGAGAGAACACAGTCTACCTCGTGTTCCCAGCTTTTGGGGGTCACAGGCCCCTTTGTAGACCCCCAGAAAAGTGCCCCTATGCACATAAACACAAATTCTACCTCTTCATTTTGGGGGCTGTGAGCCCAACGCAGGCCCCATCAAGGAGCCAGTTCCCGAGCCAGGGACAGAGGCTGCAGCGTGGGGCTCAGAGATGAGGTGGGACTGCAGGCAGGGCACAGATGCACCCGGAGGAACCCACAGGAACCTGCCCTGCCGTGACAGCCTTGGGGAGCAAGCCTGAGAGGTTTTTGGAATTTGTTTTCATTCCTTGTTCATTTATTTGCCTCATTTTGAAATTCAACAAAATGGTGCTCTCTGAGGGCACGATCTAGGTCTGAGGTGGGGGCCTTCTACGGCCATGAGCCTGTCACTGGGCATCAATCTGGGCCTCCCTGGCACCGGTCGCCTGGGAAAGACTGCAGACGTCAGTCCCTGGTGTCATCGGTCCCCTGCGCCAGGTCCCAAGTGGAGGTGTAGGGGCCTGGGAGCACCTGGCAGAGGGGAGGGTGGGCGGGAGGCAGGAAGGGTCCATGCTGCAGCCGCCACCTCCCGGTGCACACGATCATACTGAACTGAAAACGTGACAATAGTGGCAATCCCACCCCGCAGCCCTTCCTTCCCCTCCCGTCAGGAGGCCGCAGTGCCCCCCACCTGCCCTGCCCATGCCAGCGGGGCTGCCTTCACCTTAGGAAGGTGTGTGTGTGACTGTGAGTGCCTGTGTGATTGTGGGATGTGTGACCATGTGACATTGTGTGTGTGAGAGGGAAAAACGGAGATGGGAAAAGGCACCAAGAATGAGCAGAGCAGAAAACCGAGGCGGCGGCCTGGTCAGGCCCAGCCTCACCACGAACACCTGCTCCACTCAGCCACGCCCCCGATCTTCCTGGAAACCCTGCAGGGCGGAGGCGGGGCCTTCACAACAGCCGAGTACACCCGAGGCAGAGCGAGGCGGGGAGCTGGCGCCGTGCTCAATCAGGGCAAGCCCGTGGGGCTCTGCAGCAGCGCCTGCTCTCAGACACACATCAAGGTTCGGAGCGCAAGGACAAGGCAACAGCGGTGGGGACGGCCGACAACGAACAGGGCCACGCTACCTTTACTTGCTCCTCATGCTACTGAGGCACCGTAATGACCCTCCCACTTACCATCCGGGAGACTCAGGGAGTTCACAGCCACCTAAGCCACTCTGCAGCGAAGGGGCAATTCAGCAAACCTGGCCAGGCTGCTGCCTCCTGAAGCCCTCAGGAGCAGACCCATGGCAGCCTTGGTCTCGCCCCCAGATCCAGCTCCCCTCAGCTTCACACATGCTGTGCCCACACACACTCCCCGGCACAAATTCCGGGACCACCCTCCCTGCCCAGGCAGGCGCTCTCCCAGCTGACTTGCCCGGCCGCTGGTCTTCGCCCAGTGGGCGTCACCACGTGTTTGGAGAGGAGGATCTGACAGAGGCGGGGACTCTGCCTGTCCTGATGCCTCTGGGCCTTCTGTGGCGGTGAGGCAGGGGGCATAGTGGCTGGGCCTGGATCGGAGCCCCTGCAGGCACAGGACTCTCAGGATGGGGCCACCCAGCTCCCACCAGAGCCTGGGACTCAGTCACAGGCCCCCTCCCTTGCCTGTCCCCACCCATGTCTCCCCAGCCCTCTGTGGGGGACACAATCAAGGTCCCCTCCCAGGTCTGGGAAAGGCCCCCGCTAAGTATGGGGTCCCAGCCAGACTGCACCTCTGCTCATCAGGGCCCTCAGGCAGTGTGGACAGCTTTGCCAGTTCCTAGCCTCTGAGGGCACAGGGCCCTGCCTAGGTGTCATCCTAGGCATGAGATCTGGGTACAATGTGTGGAACTGACTGGGAATGGCAATCCAGGCTAGACCTGTGGGGTGCAGGCAGCCTCTCTGCTTCATCTCTCCCCACTGGACCCTGCTGGCCTCCACCGTGCCTAGGGACAGCACTGCCCACCAAGAGCAGCTGGCCATGCAGGCCAGTAGGCAAGGCATGGTGAAGGATCCTCTGGCAGCACTAGGCATGGAGGGCAGCAGGGGTACAGCTGCCACCCCAACCCATCCCACTCACGTCCAGAGCTCTTGCCGTGCCCCTCCCACGTGTGTGGGCATCTGGGGACATGGGCTGCAGGGCAGCCTGGCTCACGGGACCAGCTCTGTCGGCTCCCCGTGCTCAGGGACTATAACCTCAGTCGCCCTGCAAGGAAGCTGCAGAGGCTGAGACTTGCTCATCTTCTGCCCTTTCCCAAACTGAAAGCCACCTCACCACGCCGTGCAGCTCAGGGTGGGCACGTGCAGAGACCCCCAGCCAGAGGAAGTGCCGTGAGCACTCCTGGGGAGGTTTCTCGCAGAGGAGAAGGGGTGCTCACCTCCTCTGGAGCAGTCACTGGCCCTGCCTGGCTTCCCAGCAGGTGCTGCTCCCAAAAACCGCCCAGGCTGGGTCACATTTATGTCCAGGGCCCAGTGAAGCGTCCCCACCTCCTGAGGCCCGAGAACCGTCAGGACTGGGGCTGGAGCAGATGCACAGGTGACAACCAAGTACAGAGAGATGGACCCCGCCTGGGCACCGAACCAGTGGATCCACAAACAAGCACTTCATTGCGTTTCTGGCAGAAGCCACCCCAGGTGGGCGCGAGGCTAGGAGGGCTACGCTGGTGCGACTGCATCCAGGACGGGACGGCGGGGCTCCTCACTAGTCCCCACAGTTCTGCCTGACACGACTGACGACCATAGGAACAACAGCCACAGCACCGGCCACCTCTGGAGGGATGCGGCATCAGGTTAGGTGCTACTTCCTTTCTCCCATTTCCTCAGGCCCCTCCAGGGTGGGCATGGCCACCCTTGTCTAAAGGGGCAGCTTGTCCACATCCTGCAGGTGGGACGATGAGGCTGCCCTAGGCAGGTTCTCCTTCGCAAGCCAGCTTCATCCCACACACCACCCTGACACGGGTAAAAGCTAGCACAGGCCTTTAAATAAATAAATACGTGGATAGATGAATATAAAATAAAAGATCTAAAAAATCTGTTGACAAGCGCAACTCGTCCAAGGTGGTAATTATCACCTCCCCTTCCTGGAGTGGGCGGGAGGAAGTGAGCAGTGCCTGGCGGTGGGAGCCCAGGGAGGCGCTGGCCTCGCGCCAAGCCCAGCAACCCCAACGCCTCCTTCCTAAGGCTCCAGCCCCTAGGCTTCCGGGGTGCTTGCATAAAGAGCCTGGGCTTAGGTTCCAGCCCCAGCACTGGTGCCGGCTGTAAGGCCCCAGGCGTGCCACGCACTTCTCTGGGCCTCACTGTCCTCATCTGTAGAATGGCAACAGTGGCACTCACAGCCCCGTGGTCTATGCCCCTCAAGCTCCACCCACACAGTCTGACCCCTCACGTCTGCAGAGCACAGCAGGCACGCACTTCACTCCACCAGGAGCCCCCGAGCACGAGGCTCTCCTGAGGCGCGAGGGCTCAGGAACACTACCCCTCACTTCCTGGGGGCCTGGGGAGGGTCCTCAGCTTCCCTGAGCCTCCAGCTTCACTTCCAGGGAATGGAGCTGACCTCACCACGTGCTAGTGTCGCCCAGAGAGCTCGAGGTGAAGCACGTGAGGCCGCAGCGTACAGCAGAGATGCCGCAAGATGCCGTAAGATGCCGTACTCTGACTCAGGTGGGAAACCAGGTTGAGCTGTGCTTTTCCCAAGTCCTATAAGCTACAGGGCAGAGATGCTTCCAAGGGGAACACGGCCATACACGCCCCCGGAGAGCGGCATGAGGGTTGAGCACAGCCTCCCGCTTGCCAACAGTGACAGGCTCTACAACAGCCCCACTGACTAGGATCCCATGGCCTGGGTAAAGTCAAAGGCCCCAGGTAAACACAGTAAACTGTTGAGGTAAGAGGTCCCTGGCGCAGCCCAGCTGCTGTGTCCGGGGATGGAGATGCAGGGACATGCCCTGGACCCTGACAGCAAACAGCCACAGGCGAGGGGGCCGGAGGAAATGTGGTCCCTCCTACAATGAAATCCTCTAGGCCAGCTAATGCCGGCCAGTGAGACGCCTGGGTGGAGAAGGCACCACGGGACGTTCTGTGCGACGTTCCCTGGACTTGGGGGTTTCAATGACAGCTCCCCAGGAGCTGCGGGCAGAGGGTGCTGGGCACCCAGGGAGACCTGCCTCGGATCTGTGCCTTGGGATTGCTGCCACCTCCCGCATGTGGAGAAGGGGGAAGCTCGGAAGGATGGGGAGGGTGCAGGGGTGGGAGGGGGGTGCAAACGGGGCTCCACGTGGATGCCCAGGAAGGCAGCCAGGCTGGGATGCGAGCCCCGTGGACGCCCAGGAAGGCGGCAGGGCTACGGTGTGAGCCGTGTGGATGCCCAGGAAGATGGCCCGGCTGGGGTGCAAGCCGTGTAGATGCCCAGGAATGTGGTAGGGCTGGGGTACGAGCCGTGTGGATGCCCAGGAAGGCGGCAGGG